TAAGTGCCAGAACCATCCAAACCTGGAGCTGCCCCGGGAGCTGCTGTGGTCCTTGCCGACCTGATCACAGCCTGTCAGGCACCCTCTCTGCTAAAGGATGCTGGAAAAAGCCCCTGCTGAACTTCCTGCCTCCTCCTTTCTTCTACTTGGATGTGGCTACAAGGACATCGCGGCACCAAGAAACAAATTTATATCTTCATCCCAAATACATGCTGGTTATACCGTAAGCATGTCTTCTGGGCCCCCAGAATTCAAAAAGCACAGCACACATCACTGTAAGAAAGCTCGCTCAGCAGGAGCTGGAGGGGAAGCCCCAGGCTCACCTGCTCGACGGTGCCGCAGCCGGAGTAGGGAATCGTGAAGGTCACCTGGCTGCTTGTTATCTGGGGCTGACACTGGCGGTTCCTGTTCCAGTTGGGAATGACAAGGTCCCAGGCAGAGTAGCCCAGGGATTGGAGGTAGCCCCTGCTCACGCTGGCTCGCATGTGATTCGGCAGGCAGAGCAGCTCTGGGGACCGAGGGTGGACAGTGCAGTCAGTCAGCGCCCTCCGAGCCCATATAAAGGTGCAGAGACCAAGATGGTGGGCAAATGGTCCCCTCAGGACCCGGCTCCCCGCCACCCCACGTGCCCTGTGACCAAGTCAGTCTCCCTCTCACGACAGCCCTGGGAGGACACAAGGACTTAGGGTTCCTCTGATGGAGAAATGGAGGCAGGATGTGAAATGAGTGAAATGTTTTGCCAAGTTACCATTTATCCATAGAGTGAAGTAGCACTGGGTGGTGGGTTGTGGGGATGTTGTGAAATCAACATCCTTAGCTATGGACCTAAACATCGGTCCTTTAGCCATGGGGCGGGTCAGAGCTTCAAATCCTGCCTGCAAGAAAGCCAGCACAGCGCCTGGCCCGGTCCCCGGCCGGTCTGTAAATCAATCCATTTAACGGTTCAGACTGTGGTCCTTGGCCTCTGCCAGATGTGGCTGAGTGACCAGCTCCATCCATCTCAGGGTAGCAGCCAGATGTGCTGGGTCTCAGGAAATGATCTCAGTGTCCCTCACACTGGGACGGTCACAAGGTCTCAAGCCACATGGTCACCTCTGCCCTTGGCACTGACATCTCAGTAGGTGCTGAAAGCATCGTCTTGCCCCTTCTTCCTAGTCTCTGCTGACCACAGAAAGGCCAATAGGCCACCATCGGCCATTTCTGAGCAGCCACAGTGCCAAGACCCCCCGCTTTTGACCCCTTTCTGTGCTGGATGGAGCCTTGGTGACCTGACAAGGTGTTTCTGGCTTCTTACTTCACAGCCACGGGGGGCTGAGCAGCGGAAGGCTCTCAGAGGAGCCCCACCCCAGACCATCAGGGACTTACTTGTGTTCTCAGGGAAAGCACTGGAGTAGTATTCAGCCTGGAACCCTCTCCTCGTGATGCTGCCATCGCTGACGAAGCGGATGGACATGAAGTTGGACGAGGAGGTGAAGGAGCCCCTTGCGCCGTCACAGACCCGGGCGAGGAGCGGGGAGCTGTGGTAGGGGCCGTCGAACACTTCAATGTAATCGTAGTTACAGCCGCCTTCAAGCCTGCAGGGACGGAACACACAGGTTTGGCTTCACTTTTAACCAGGATCTGGTGCAGGGGATCAGATCCCCGTGAGAGCGGTCACACCTCTAAACCAGAAACCCCGACAAAGTTAATCATTGAAAATAAGATATTTTCTTTTTTTTAATTGATCTACAGTTGATGTATAATATTATATGTTACAGGTGTGCAATATAGTGATTCACAATTTTTAAATATTATACTTCACTTATAGTTTTTATAAAATTGTGGCTATATTCCCCGTATTGTACCATATGTCCTTATAGCATTTTTTATACATAATAGTTGTGTACCTCTTAATTCCCTGCCATTAAATTGCCCCTTCCCCCTGCCCTCTCCCTACTGGTAACCACTAGTTTGTCAGATGTTCTTAAATTGAATGGAAATTCATCTTCCCATGGCTTCCAGGAACAGGTCTTCCTTCTGCATTTTGGAGTCACACACATGAGATCTATGGCCCCTCCCCTGATAGCTCTCTGTATCATGTGAGAAAGGATCACATCCTGCTTAGACCTTTTCTTTGATCAAAAAGACCCCAGTTGGCCATAGAATAAAATAAACATCCATGAATTCATAGTGACAGAAACAATAATTGAACAAATAAATATTGGACAATTCAAATAACCTCTGAAGATCGTTTCTTATTTACAAAGTTGAAATCTCCCTATCCACGTACACTGAAGAGAGCTGTTGTGAGGCTCAAACGATATAATATATGCAAAAGTGCTTCATAAAATGTCACAGACGGTGGTGGTCACTGTTCTAAGATGCTGGCTAAAGAACCAGTCATAGTCAACCTTCCTCATAGGAGCTCACCAGCCACAGGTACAGTCCCCCAAATCCATAATGAATTGTAAAACTGACACATTGGAATTGACTGTACTTCAATTTAAAAACTTAATTGTAATCA